TCATGTGGGTGTATGGCACATTAGACCACTATACTTCATGTGGGTGTATGGCACATTAGACCACTATACTTAATGTGGGTGTATGGCACATTAGACCACTATACTTCATGTAGGTGTATGGCACATTAGACCACTATACTTCATGTGGGTGTATGGCACATTAGACCACTATACTTCATGTGGGTGTATGGCACATTAGACCACTATACTTCATGTGGGTGTATGGCACATTAGACCACTATACTTCATGTGGGTGTATGGCACATTAGACCACTATACTTCATGTGGGTGTATGGCACATTAGACCACTATACTTCATGTGGGTGTATGGCACATTAGACCACTATACTTCATGTGGGTGTATGGCACATTAGATCACTATACTTCATGTGGGTGTATGGCACATTAGACCACTATACTTCATGTGGGTGTATGGCACATTAGACCACTATACTTCATGTGGGTGTATGGCACATTAGATCACTATACTTCATGTGGGTGTATGGCACATTAGACCACTATACTTCATGTGGGTGTATGGCACATTAGACCACTATACTTCATGTGGGTGTATGGCACATTAGACCACCACTTTATGTATCTGTATGTCACCAAGAACATCAAACTAATACACTGCATATAACTTCATTCCACAGAACTTGGAATCAGAAGCTCCCTCAAAAATAGAGGGCAATGAGCCTCCTCCTGACTGGCCACAAGAGGGCAATGTCTCTTACAAAGACTACAAACTAAAGTATAGAGATGGTTTGCCAAATGTTCTGAAAGGAATAACTTTTAATATAAATCCAAAAGAGAAGATTGGAATTGTGGGTAGAACTGGATCTGGTGAGTTTATACCAATATATCAGTTACAAGTAATAAATTATACCAAGTGACAGCTCATATTGCGGCATATCAGTTGGTAATGTCATAGCTAAAGTATTTAGCATAATCATAAACAACAGAATCACAAATCATACAGAAAATAATAAGATTATTCATCCGAACCAAGCAGGATTCCGACGAAAAAAACGAACAGTTGATCACATTCTGACTCTCCACACAATTATAAAGAAACAACAAGAGAAAA